TCCCATTAGAGCAGCGGTTCTCAACCTGTGGGTCACGACCCCTTTGGTGGTCGAACGACCCTTTCCCAGGGGTCGCCTAAGACCATCGGAAAACACATATATAATTACATATTGTTTTTGTGATTCATCACTATGCTTTAATTATGTTCAATTTGTAACAAATTGGGGGTCCCCAAAACATGAGGAACTGTATTAAAGGGTCGCGGCATTAGGAAGGTTGAGAACCACTGCATTAGAGGGAAGCACTAGTCAGGTTCACATGAAAGTGAGGGTATGGCCCCCACCCCAAAGCCACACAACTCAGTCGCTGACTCCCCTGAGTCTGCCCAGACCTCTTCACCCCAGCCACAGCAGCTGACTCCTCAGCAGGGCGTAAACTCTGCAGGATGGGATAAGAAGAGCACAAAATACAGAGCCTGTGGTGTGGGAGAATGACTCAGCACAAGGATCCTGGTGGCTGTCCCTTCAGCTCTCTCTCCAGAGCCACAAGCCCATACTCTCCTCACACAGCTCTAGTCCACTCTGCCCTCCTCTGTCCTGGCTCAGGGTGAGTAGCTGAGAATGAAATTTGAGTTGGCCTTTTAAGAGGGCACCTATGTCTCTAGCAGATCCTATCTCCACATAACAGACTTAAGCTGCTGCTTTACACAGCCAGATGTCATGTGGTGCCTCTTTCTGGCTCTGGTTCTCTGGGCTAGGGACCTAGCCTGGTATGGGGTTGAGACCCTACACTTCTCACGGGGAATCCGCCCACAGCTGAAATATCCCTACTGAACCTCAGCTGCTGCCCGTGAGCAGGGCCAGCCCTTTTCACGTCTCCACCTTCCTGTCAATCTCAATGTGGCTTCTTTTTAAAAATGATCTTCTAATTCTTATAGAACAGGAAAAGTCTAAAATAACCAACTAATCTTTAAGAATGGTGACTTCACTAACATTTAGATAAGGGTGAGGCACTATACAGAAAGGTAGACAATTAACCAGGTAAGAGAGAAAAAGCATGAATGGACTAGAAAGGGAGCCTAGAAACAGACCCAGATATAAGGAATTGAGGTAATCACAGAAATGACATCACTAATTAGTGGGTGAAGGATTTACTATTGAAACAATGGTATCACGTCACCTTTCTATCTGAATAAAAAACATTAGAACCTTACCTAAGGTCACTCTTTAAAGATTAACTAGGATTAAAAACTAAATGTATGACACTACCCAAATACAAGACTTATTATAAATCTACAATAATCAAGACAGTGTGGGGTTGGCAAAAGAATAGACAAACAGATCAATGGAACAGAATAGGAAGACCAGAAATAGACTGCCATAAATACAGCCAGCTGATCTTTGACAAATGAGCAAAGGCAGCATAACGGAGCAAAGATAGTCTCTCCAACAAGTGGTGCTTGAACAACTGGACACACACCCACACACACATACACACACACAGAAACACAATGTAGTCAGACTTTACACCCATCACAAAAAATTGACTCTAAATGGATCACAGACCTAAATGTAAAATGCAAAACTATAAAATTCCTAGATGATAATCTACAAGAAAACCTAATGACCTTCAGTATAGTGATGCCTTTTTAGATACAATGCCAAAGACATAATCCATGAAAGAAATAATTAATAAGCTGGACTTCATTAAAATTAAAAACTTCTGCTCTGTGAAACAGAATATCAAGAGAATGAGAAGACAAGCCATGGACTGTAAGACAATATTTGCAAAAGACAAATCTGATTTAAAAAACACAAAACTGTTAGCCAAGCACACACAGATAACTCTTAAAACTCAACAACAAGCCCTCCCAGCGTGGCTCAGTGGTTGAGCATTTTTACCCAAGAACTAGCAGGTCTCCATTCTTGGTCAGGGCACATGCCCAAGCTCCATTATAGGCTCAATCCCCAATAGGAAGTGTGCAGGAGGCAGCTGATCGACGATTATCTCTCAGCATTTGTTTCTATGTCTCTCTCTCCTCTTCCTTCCTCCCTGAAATCAATTAAAACGTGTTAAAAAGCAAACAAACACTCAACAATAAGAAAACAACCCTATTAAAACATGGGCCAAATACTTTAAAAGACACCTCCCCAACCAAAGAAGATATACAAATGGCAAACAAGCATATGAAAAGATACTATATATCATGTCATCAAGTAAATGCAAATTAAAACACTATATATCATGTCATCAAGAAAATGTAAATTAAAACAACAATGAGATACTACCACAAACCTGTTAGGATGGTCAAAATCTAGTGACAACACCAAATAATGGTGAGGATGTGGAGTAACAGACTTCCTATCTTGCTGGGAATGTAAAATGGTAGAACCAGTTTGGAAGATAGTTTGGCAGTTTCTTACAAAACTAAATACACTCTTACCATGCAATCCAGCAATTATGTTCTTTGGTATTTACCCAAAGAAGTTAAGAGTTTATGTCTGCATAAAAACCTGCACCGGATGTTACAGCAGCTTTATTCATAATTGCCAAAACTTGGAAGTAGCAAAGATGTCCTTCAGTAGGTGAATGGATAAATAAACTATGGTACATGTAGACAGTGAAATATTCAGCATTAAAAAGAAATGAACTATCAAGACATGGAGGAACCACAGTCGCATATTACGAAGAGGAAGAGCCAGCTTGAGAAGGCTATACACTGTATGATTCCAACTATATGACCTTATGGAAAGTCAAAACTATAGAGACAATACAAAGATCTGTGTCTCCCAAGGGTCAGGGGAGAGGAAGAGATGAACAGACAGAGCACAAAGAATTTTTAGGGCAATGAAAATACTCCACATATATTATATTGATGAATATATGTCATTATGAATTTGTCCAATGCCATAGAATATTCGCCACCAAGAGTAACCCTAAGGTAAACTGGTGTTTGGTGAGCATAATGTGTCAATGTAGGCTTATCCTTGGTACAATGTCTCACCCTGGTGAATGAAGTAGATAATTTGGGTGGCTATGCATTAGTGGAGGCAATGGATATATCAGAAATCTCTGTATCTTCCTCTAAATTTTCTTGTAAACTTAAAATTGCTCTTAAAAAATAAGGTATAAAAACCCCCACTAAACTTGAAAAGCAAATCAATATAGCCTTTTGAAGAATTCTTTGGAGAATACTTTTATATCATCAGGCTGGGGATTATATTGAAGTATGTCACTACATTTCATTTTTGAACCTGTGTAAGAAAAAATATCATAAAGTAAAAATTCAAAGCACAGACTAGAAGAATCTTTTTGAAACATCTCCTAATTAAAAAATAAAAAACACTATTCCAAATGTATAAAGAATTGCAAATGAGTAGGAAATATTTATAAAAAGGGAAAGTATATAAATAGGCAATGCACAGAAGAAGATAATTAAATGGCAATAACTATATTAAAGTGTGCAGTCTCATTGCTGGGGAATTACTGCTTAAAACATGCCCATTATAACAGAAAGACAATCATTCTGATTGCAGAATGTGCGGGTGAGGATGCGTGTGAACAGGGACCCTGACACCTTTCAGGTGGGAACAATTGGGACTGATGTGGTAAAGTTGCAGGTGCTCATGTGCTAAGATGCAGCAGCCCCATTATCTATGCATGTGCTCAAGGGGAAGTCTCATTCATATTTGAAACACACGTGGAAGGTACAAAAAGTCATTATAAAGCCTTAAAGTAAACATTGGTAAGTTCTATTTAAACATGGAAAACCCCTTCATTCTATAAATTGGAAATAAAGAATTCAAACTAATACTTAAAAATTTCTAAAATAGAATGAAAACAACTAGCTGCATTTATACACCAGTTCTCTCTCTCTCTCTCTCTCTCTCTCTCTCTCTCTCTATCTCTCTTTC